GGGAAATCGAACTAGGAAAAAAAAACTAATATTTATTTATGGATTTGAAAATGATATACAACTCTGATTTTTGGGATTAAAAATCTGAATTCGAATTGAATGAAATCTAGTGGATTCGGTTATAGCTCTTGAAGATATGCTGGAAATCGGTATAAAGGGAATTTTAAAAGTGATTAACATGCTCAAAGATTGCTAATTTTGACAATTATAGATTATGGGTACTGCTTGTGATTTACTAAGCTATGAAAATGAAGTTTTCAGTATGGGTATTATCATGGCTCGATTGAGATTATGGTGATTTTTGTGGGTTTAATTTTTGAAATTTATGATGTATGCATTGCGGATTAAGATCTAAAATATTTGTATATTTAGATTGTTAGTCGCCTTTCTTGACACGAGGGGAAAGGGAAAATCAAATGAACTATAGATCTATGTTTGAAAAAAATAAAAGAAAAGCTATTCACAGTTGCTCTATTAGATGGAAAACGAGTAAGCTAGTAAGAAGGAAAGTGTAGTCTAAATGCAGCTACGTACCACACATCAAACATAGTTAACCTGACTAGTTAGCATATTCCTATTGTATTATTATGCGATTAAGTGAAAGGGCTGCTTAAACTGGAATGATTGATAATGATACATAACAAGTGCTTGAATATAAATGAATTATGTAAGGATCAGTAGTATACATAAACAAGCGATGCCATGATAGAGAACTAAGGGGTCGTTTGGATAAGGGATTGTAGTGAGGGATTTGTGAGAGATTTTAAAACAATCTCTCATTATGCAGGATTTTAAAACAATCATGTGTTTGGCAATATGAGAGATTGTGGACATTAGGAATTTTGAAAACCCACATATGTAGAATTTCAAAATAGCTGATGAGGATCAGATATTTCAGAATCCCTCATTATTTTTAATTCTTTTCCACAAGTATCCTTTCTCCAGCCCAACTCTTTCCCTCGTCCATCTCTTCCACTCTACCCCACATTTGACTTATCCCCAATTCTTCCCTGCCGGTGACCTGATGCAATTATCGTCGTCACAACCACCACCGACCATTCTAATATGCTCTGTTTCGTTCCGTTTCCCATCTTTTCTTCTTATCCCCAATTTTCATCTCGTTCTAGCTTCCATTTCCCGTCTCCGTTTTGTCGTTCGTCCATGGATGGAGAGAGGCAAACAGCGACGATCTCCATACGGGAGAGGGAGACGAAGTGACCATGGGGAGACGAGTGAGGAGGGCCTTCATGCACTCGTCGGCTTCCTTTTCTGCATCTCGCTTCCTTCCAACCGCTGTCGATAAGATTGGAGAAAAGGACAAGAAAAGAGGAAGAGATTGCGGTTGTGATGTGAGCTCCAGGCAGATCCGAGAGAACAACGGCGACGGAGATGACCAGATGAGGACCCATCACTGTTGATTTCCCTTTTCCAACTTTCAATTTTTAGGTTTGGGCGTTCTATTTTTTGGATTTCAAAGGGTCAATTCTAGGTTTGGGGGCTTTATGTTCTGGGTTTTGTAGGGTCGATTATGGGTTTGGGGTTGTGTTTTTTGATGAACGGAGGAAGAAGCTTCTATGCCCTGTGCGCCGACGAAACAAAAGTTGCAGAGCTGATTTCTTTCTTGTGGTGGTTGCAGTCGGCAGCCAATTTCGTTTCTCAAACAAAAGAGAAAGAGAGTAAGAACGATGGAAGGAGGACAAATCTGTACTTTCATTTTTTATGTTAAAATCCTGAATTTATTCCAAACAAGTTATTTTACTGAAATTCCTCATACAAAAAACCTAGGTTTTTAAAATGAGAGATTTGATTAAAATCCCTCATTTTAGAAAACCCTCATCCAAACGACCCCTAAAAGGATTGTTATTGAAGAAGGATGAACCTGGTTTACAGATTACAAGCTTGGTCTTGAGATCCTTGCCTTGTACCTTCTCTCCACTCTTGTACTCCAAGAACAAGGATTCGATCCCAAAAAAAAAAAAAGACTAGAAAGAGCTTTCTCCCTATTTCCTTTCGTGTTTTTAATCCACTCTTTTTCCAGAACCGCCCCCCGTCAACAGAGAGCCCAATGAGCTCATTTAATAGCAAAAGTATCTGCCATGTGTCACATGATCATTTGACGTTGCTGAAGTTGAAACTAGCGTGCTTCCTTCTGATTGGTCGAATTTTAAGGCTGAATCTTAACCCTCCACCTGCAAAGTCGGTTGCTTTGTGGCTGTGTTGCAGAGCTCCGCCTTGCTTGGTCGGCTCTGACTAGTCAGGGTGTGGATAAGGTTGGCATATGATTACGGGCCGAGTTGGCCGAAATGGGCCTAGAGTTGTTTGCGATCTGGTCTTCGTCTGGGCTCGAAATGGGCTTCGTCCAGTCTTACATTTGGGCCAAACCGGGCTCTGATTCTTGGGACTAATTTATGGGCTTGAGCTTGTTGACTTTGAATTCTAGCTTGGGCCTGTCTTGACTGATTTTCTCTGATTTTGCAGGCTGCTTTTGCTGGTCTAGGCTCCCCGGTTATGGGCCATGCTTGGATTCTTGATAAGAGAATAGGAGTAGATTGTTTCCTTTCAACTTGTATATTGTATTTGAATATAGTTGTACAAATTGAAATTTCTTGTAGTAATGTTTGATAATTGTTGCGATCTTTTTATTTTTCTTTATAGCGATATTCTTCTAGCCTTTACAATCGAGCTTTGAATAATTCTTTAATACGAATCCCTATATGACCCATATCGATCCTTGATTTGTTTTCATTAACCAAGTTTACTGTGCCACATTTCTCGGTTGAAGGTGCAGTTTGATGTTTCTATGATAGATATCAGACCGGACAAAATGTGGTGTCTACACATTCCATGGGAGAAAGTAGAGAGTGCATTCAGAACACAAACACCACAATTAAATTCAGCTGACATTTACACCGCGAAAAGTTCTCAAACAGCCTAGAGTCTCAACTAAATTGCTCAAGACCCTCTCAGTTCGAATACCCGGCGTAAGCTAACTTAGGCAATATGATTTAAACGTCCTCTACTGGATTCTACACCAGTACAGAGTAGTGAATCTACTCCTAGACTAAAGTAGTCGATTCACTACTTCCAATTCAGGATGCTCTATGAACCTAAGAAGAGACTATCATTCTAGGTCAAAGCTGAAACTGCAGGAATGTGATCAGGATTCAAGCAATTCTGAATAAAAACCCCAACTGAATATAAAATGTCAAACAATTATGAATTCGAGTTCATACAACTCTTCCTAGCATACAAATCTAGGGTTCCTCAAAAACTAAGTGAAAGGAATTTACTCCATAGAGAAGAGAGAGAATACAGTATAACTTTCCAGATCTTCAATCTTCATGTCTGGGCTTTTTCCTCGAGCTTCCAAGGCGAAGAAATCCTCCAATTCCACTCCAAGATCGCCCTCAAATTGCCCTCTCTCTTTTGTTAGTCCCTTGGGTGTTTGGGAACCAAAACCCAACTCCAAAATAGAATGGCATTCAATTGCCCGTGTCTGCTTGTAACAACCCGAGTTAGACGTACCCGGCCTAATTACCCGGTCCGATATTTGGAGAATCGACCGAGTTTTATACAAAACACAGTGCAACCAATGGTCAACGAGGGTGATTTCCCTAGCCTCGAGTTGGAATCCCTGATCGAGTATTATGGGTCACCGACCTGGGGGTCTCGTAGACGCCTTACCCGACGTCAGATGCAATTACAGGGTCAGGGGTGCGATGGTCTAGTAAGGTATTTTGGTCATCAAACTCCACTTTTCGTCCACTTTTCGTTTTTTACTCGAAACTCGTTCTCAAGCCTCCATTTTCGCTCCAGATCCTGAAATATGACATAAAAGTAGAACCTAGTGTGAAATCGGCTTAACATACGAGAATCGATCCTCAAACGATGTAAGAATGGTGGGGAAAAGATGTGCAAATATCGAGTTATCTTATTGTCAAATTATTCAAATCATTCTCATGATGAGACAATGTCCAAAATAAGGGTAAACCTAAATACGAAAGGTTATTAATGGTTTCTAAGTTTGACATTTGGTGTGATCAAACAGTCTATTTTCGGAATACATGTTAGAAATCACCTATGTGAGTGTGAAATCGAGCCGCTTCCAGGAGAATAAAAGAAGGCCAGTTCTAAGCACTCATGAGACCAGATGGTGTTCATGGCTAAAACCAACACAACAATGAGAACCAGTGAATGGATAAGAGTTAGTTGTGTGACATATATTGTCTTAATATACAAGCAAAACCGACTGTTCAAAGATATTACATTTACCGATCGGTGAGCATACTCGATTGATGGGTTGTTGAGATTTTTAATGGTGTGAATGGAATGAAAGGGGTATGATTCAAGATATGCTCTTGAAGTACCATGTTGGTAAGATATGAGAAGGTGCGGCCGCGAATTCGGTCGATTTGATGTAATATGTTAGTAATTGGTACTATTGGTAGGAATAACGAAACCGGTCCAAGTTCCATAGGTTGAATCGATGCAATGGTTTAGAAACTAGAAATGAACCATTGCAATGGTTGGGGTGTAACCATCCATACAAATAGTTGTCTCCCTTCGTACGCACACCTTCTTTCTCTATAAATAGCACCTATCCCCTCTAATTTTGAGTTTTTGACATATGTTTTTTCCATACCAAAACTCTGCCAAAATCCAAAATGGTGTTTATGTTTATGCATTTTTTCTAAAAGAGAAAATCGAGTTAAGTTTGATTCTCACCGTTTTGCTGCGTTCGATGGTTTCAAGGGTTTGAGGTATCGCTACGCTGGAAATGTACGTCCTTTACTTTTCTATCTCCGGAGAAATCATTCCATAACCTTGGGTACTGGAGGGGAATAAAATTCTTTAAGAAGAGACATTAAATTATGTCTGTTAGAATGATTGCATGTATTTGCAAAATTTTCGTGATCTTACGTATTATTGTTTTGTAAGATATATTATTCATGAACAATTTCCAAACCATTTATTATAGCCGATTATTTGTAAAGTTGCCTCATTCATTCGACATTACTACGGTAATTGGCTTCAAAATGGCCATTGGGATTTCTTGTCATTGATTACATTCCTTAGTACATAAAGCGAGTTTTTGAGATATCCCACAGCGAGATCAGTTGGCTTCTAAGCCACTGTTCTAATTCAGCAAACCAATTTTCATTGCAAATTTGCAATCCTCGGTATTCGAAAAACAAGACGTCTAATTGTCTACCACCAGCTCCAGTTAATGGAAATGGGGGGCTAATGGAAAATCCTCAAATTGATAACAGTTAAGGAAGAACTTGGTGTCACTTAAACATTCTAGAACTAGAATTACAGCTCACTATCTTTTGGAGATGCAGTCTCTCCACTCTTTGTCTTCCCGTTCACTGCAACAAGTTCTGTGTCAAATATCAATGTTGCTCCACCTGAAAAATCCCAAACAGCAAAAATGGTGTTACTGTCTAGTCAACCAGACACTGGGGTTTCAAGGCTCAAGAAGCAACTTGGTAAAAGCTAGGTTACAATGACTTTCATCTATTAGCCACACGCGTTCACAAGAGCTCCAGAATTGTTTGTGCAGACTAACATATTATCAAATCTGTGGGTCCCGCAGACCCAGAGATTTAAGGGCAACAAATCTGTGGATCCCACGGACTTTAAGGGTTCAAATATGTGAATCTCACGGACTTCAAAATTCTATCTCTTTATATGGAAATTGATCATGAACTTTGAAGTCCATCATTTATGACCAACCTACCCCTTCTGTCTCCTTTCTCTTCTCATACTAACGAGGACAATATAGGTCAATTTCACTTCATAACTACAAAGTACAAATCTAATATACCAAATCCATCATATAATCTATGCAACAAGTAATAGTATTTTTCAAGTCCATAATGAACTCAAAAACCCTCATATATCCATAGTTTCACAAAACCCGAATTTTATCTAAACCTAGCAAACAACCCGTTAGACACTAATTAAACCTCGCCATGCAGGTGGTCTTAGAAAAGAGCCTAGACATGATATAACAATGATAGAGAATATAAGTACCTGGAATGGTAGGGGGAGAACCCTGGTCACCATAGCCGAGCTTTGATGGAATTTTCAACTTCCTCTTCTCACCTACACACATTCCCAGTAGTCCTTGGTCCCATCCTGCAACAACAACAACAACAAAAACAATAGGCAACTCCAAGTGAGTGACGTTTATGGATAAATGGTAAAGAAACAAGCAACAAAGTAAAGTGAGTGACGTTTATGGATAAATGGTAAAGAAACAAGCAACAAAGTAAAGCATGAAAAAGTTAGACCTTTGATAACTTGACCACTGCCAAGCTCAAATTCAATGGGATCGCCCCGTTCAAAGCTGGAGTCGAAGACAGTGCCATCGGTGAGCTTTCCCTGCAAATTTTTAATAATATATGATTCAGGAAACAAGAGAATCCTTGAAAACGAACACCTAATCTTAACTCAAAACTATGAATTAGATGAAATATAAACTTGTCAGGGAACCACGATGCAAGGGTTTGATTCCTCATTCGCTACCTGGTTATATTTTGGCATAATTGAATCGACATATGCAGGATGGCCAGTAGGGCATTTTACATAAGCAGGGGTAAATAATAGGTGGAAGAGATCAACTCATTACCACCACATAAGCAGGATTCAAGAAAAAAGCTACGATTTCTCTAACATGTAATAACCAACAACAACAAATAAAAAGGACGTCTGAAAGCCCAAAACTCTTAAACAGGCAACGGAAATCCATCAGACTAAAAGCAGCAGAGAATAACTAGCTTGATTGATTAATTGAAGATGCATATTAAGGAAAAGTTGTAGAACAAAGACACCCATTGCATTGCTAAGCAGGAGACTGGAACGACTGAACAGACTTAACTCACCCGGTAGTGTACTTTGATCTTGTCCCCCTTATGAGCCTGAATCTCACAAGTCTCTGGTTTGTGCTGCAAGATGCACAGTAGCAAACATAAGGACAGCAGTAATAACAATATTGTGCATTCTGATTTACGAGCAACCCTAAGTTGCATCCTAACGAATACTCCCAACTATCATCAGCTCAAATCGAGCCTCATTATGAGCAAGGAAAAGCTGAAATCCTCATCCTTAATCCTACAGTTGCTGTATCCTTTGCAGCATATTTTCATTTAATCCGCCTTTTGTATGCAAAACACAGTAAACTTAAATCGCAAAACATAGATGCATAAAGGGAATTAGTAGTACCTTAACGCCAATCTGTAACTCTGTTACATCGCCAGACTTCTTACCGGAAACTGAGGGATCAAGATGAGCAGAACGGAAGAAAAACATTCACAATCAGGAAACAACAAATGGGGAACCGAACTTGGCGGATCAGAAAGCTGAAACAGCGAAATCGTTCACCGATAAAAAAAACAGATCTAAACAAAGCGGTACGAGATTACTGCCTAGTTACCATACGAAGACAGAGCCACGAAGAAGAAGAAGATTGCGGCAGCTTTCGATACAGAGATTGAGCTCATCTTCTTCGTAGTTGCTCAGCTCACTCCTACTCAAATGCTCGATGATAAGCCTGGCGTTCTTCTGAGAAGTGAAGGAGTGACGAAACTTATGCTAAAGTGAACACAGTTATTAATTAAGGGTAATGGTTATTTTTTGGCAAAATTCATCTGTATAGCCAAAACTTTCCCGTTTGTGACAATAATAGCCACTTTTGGCGAAATACCAAATATAACCAAAATTTTGAAAATTTCATGACAAATATAGCCATTTCCGTTACATATTTTAACGGCGTTAATGACACCGTTAATCCAATTAACGGAATGCTTACCTGGCTGCCAACTCATCCGACACATCATCGCCAATTCAACAACACTTGCCACATGAATGCCATGTCATATTTTAATTTAAAAATAAATATAAAACAATAAACTATTTTCTCATCCTCTCTCCTCTCCCACTCAATGATGTCGTCCTCTTTCCTCTCACACCACCGTCGGCGTCTTCTGCAACTGGTCGGGTGTCGCAAGGTCCATACTTTGAGCTGCAAAAATCAGGGATAAGAAGCAACCAACCTTGAACCCCCAATACCGCATTGAGATTTCTCATTTTCACCCGCTTGCGCAAACTTCCTGCTTCTCCTCCCCCAAGTCGTCACAGCTCCGTTCGTCGCCAGACATATGAGAAATCCAACCCATACCCATAAATACCCAGATGGGGAAGAAACAAAATCAAATCGATAACAGAAACAAAGAAAGAGAGAAAGAGAGAGGAATGAGATGCACCTTGGAAGTAGATCCAGCAGGAAGAAACCCAGAATCGGCTTGATCCTCCACAAAACCCCTTTTTGCCCCAAAACTCAACCAACCAGAGAATCCCAGTACAAATTCGTTTCTTGTCCACAAAACTCGAGGTGGGCTCAAAGTGGAAGAAATGAGTAGAAAGTAGGGGATTAGGGTGGCGAGTTAGGTTTTAGAGAGGGGAGAAGGCGGATTGAGATAGATCTTGTTGGATGGATGTGAAGAGAAGCGCAGATCAGAGGCATGGGAGGTGGGCGGAACCGGAGAAGGAGAAGGAGAAGAAGACGATCAGTTGTGGTGCCCCTCTCCCCCACTTACCTCTTGCCATAACCACCTCCGTTGATCGCCTGCAACCTTCCTCCAACGAGGCCTTCCAATCTTGGTTGCACACCGGTCGGAGAAGAACATGAACCGCCACCCTCTGCTCCGCTAAAGCGGTCGGCTGGAAAGAAATAAGATGAGTCGCCGCCGTGTTGATATTAAATTGAAGTGGTGGGAGAGAGAAAATACATAAATAAATATTTAATTAATTTATATTTATTTTCCACCTCATATTTTAATTGATTAATTGTCGCCAACTCAACCTCTCCGTTAGTCCAGTCAGCCATTTGGTTAACACCGTCAAAGAATTGGACGGAAGTGGCTATTTTTGGTATTTCGTCAAAAGTGGCTATATTTGGCCAAATCGTCAAAGTTTTGGCTACGCAAGTGTATTTTGCCTTATTTTTTATTCAAATATTTCTTAGATTCTTTTAGATTATTTAAATTTATTAGAAAAATTCTATTAATTATTAGAAAAATCTTTTAACTTCCACCAAACATAAGTTATAACCAAACATTTTAAAATATAAAAATAATTAATTATTAAGTCTCATCAACCATGGTTGTCAGGTCGGCGATATGCCAGTCAATTAGACCAATTAATAAACAAACAATTTGGAATATAAAAAGTACTAATTATTAAGTCTCTGTTAATCATGGTAGTCACAACGGTGGTATGTCGGTCGGTTGAACCTAGTTTAACAGGTTTCATGAACCCAACATGAACACCACTAGTATAACCGACATGATTGATTTACAACTTCTAAGCAAAATAATGTCATGTTAGTGAATTTAATTAAAAAAATATTATTTATTTTATGAATTTAAAAGTTAATATTGATTTTATTTGTTGGATTTAAGTATTGACGTTTCAGTACATGTTGTATTCAAATATGAGTACTAGTTATTTTATTTTATTTTGAATGTCTTGGTTTATTTTAATATGAATTGTAAGTAAATTATTTTCAAATGTGTTTTTATATATGATAAATTTATATGATGTTAATGGATTTCACATTTTTACATATTTGGTTAAACTAGCACAACCGGTTGTACCACCGGTCGCATCATTCCACTTGATAAACTGGCACAACGATATAAATTAATTTAACAACCTTCCTGTTAACACTTCTATTAGTTTTTTTTTTTTGTGTAAAATACAACTATTAGTTAAGATGAGCTATAAATTTTATGTGACGTATAGTCAAGAAGAAGATGTCAAAATAAGTTAATCTTTGATCCTTCTTTTCTAAAATTTATCAGGCAAACCTATCAACTTCAAGAAATATTAGCCAAATTTTTGAAAATTCAAATAAGTAAATTCTCATTGACACTTCTATTAGGCGATATATAGCTAGCAAGTATGGGAACAGATAGGGTGACAACACCCTTGTGTTGTTATTCTAACAACACTTGTCTTCAACTAATAGGAAGCTAGGGTTGTGATGACTTTTTATTATATGAGTTGACCTAGTGTAAAATCAAAGCAGGGGTAAAATTGTCATTATGAAAAATATGTTTAAATAATAATAAAAATTAAAAAAAATTTATTTTTGGCCCAAAATTTTGGTCGCCGAAATTCGGCCACCGGTCGCCGGAAACTGGTCGCCGGAATATTTTTTTTGTCGCCGGAATATGCTATTTTTTCATCGGAATATGCCACCATCGTCGGAATATGCTCACCATGGTCAGAATATTCTTACCGGCGTCGGAATCTAGTCATCGGGGCCGGAATATGCCTATCGGCGTCGGAATCTGCTCACTGACGGTCGTCGGAGTTTGGTCAACGACCACCGGATGTTATGGTTAGCATTGTGGGAACTATGGTTTGGTTTCTCATATTTTTGTATGCCTTTTGTGGTTTGCTTTATTGTGTTTTTGGTTTGCATTGAGTAGTTTCTAGTTTGCTTTCAAACATTTTGTGGTTTGCATTGTGAGGTTTCTCGTTTGTTTTAATATATTTGTGGTATGCATTAGGACGTTTATGGTTTGCTTTTCCGTGTTTGTGGTTTGCATTAGGGTGTTTCTGGTGTGATTTTCAAAATATTTATGATTTCCTTTGTGAGATTTCTGGTTTGTTTTAGGAGACTTTATGGTTTACTTTTCCGTGTTTGTGGTTCCACATCTCAATCATATCTGGGCGATTCTCTATGTCAAAGTTCAAACATTTGCATAAAAGTTCTTGCAACAACTGGAGCTTCTCGTCATATTTACTTTCAAGCAAATGACTTGTTTTTTCCATCAACCCCATGTAAAGACCTGCACAATCTAAAGTGGCCTTCTCACTTGTTTCTAAAATGAAGTTATCCACCCATGCAAGCATGTCTACTGTGAACTGTTTCCAAACAAGAAGTCTAGCAAAAGTCAAAGCCAATGACCAAACATCCGACCTAAATCCCACAGAAGGAATCGAGCTGCCACCTTCAAGAAGTATGATCCCCAGTGCCTCTGGACTCAAATACTCTTCTCTTCTCAGAAATTCAGCAACCAAAGTTCCCAATTCTCTATTACCAATACTTTTACCACCACAAATGACTTCTGACACGTCTTTCCAAGTAGTCTGACCCAACGATATAACCTGATCCGAACATGGGTTAATTGCATGGCTGGTCACCGAGATTACAAAAAACGTTCATGTTTGGTCACTGGAAATATTTAAATTCAATCTTGGTCACTCAAATTAGTTAAATGGTTCAAGTTTGGTCACTCTCCGTCCAACTCCGTTAAATTTGTCTGATGTGACAGTCAACCCTCAAAGTTGACCAAGATTGTGCAATTCACGAGCATTCCAAGGATCACAGTCCCAAACCATGAAATCATCAGCAAACTCGTGAATCATGTTAATTAAACGATGCATTTTGTGCTGAGATCACGGTTTCATTGCATACTTCACGGGAATGATTTGCAATTGTGAAACATAAACTCGCAGATTATATAATGGAGAGAGAGCATATTTCTTTTTTGGGGGGTGGTAGAGAGACTTGAGGTTTTTCTTCAAACCTAGAGTGAGAGAGCTATGAGCAAGGAATATTTGTAGCTTAATTTGACCTACCCAAAGTAATTGGACTGCAAATTTCATCTCCAAGTATAGATCATTATAGTACAAAGATTCTAACCAATAAGACAAACTCTATTTGATAACATTAATTAAAAAATAATTAGTAAACTTCATCTATTATATTAATTAATCTTTCCAATGAAGTAAATATTATTCATGTTTTTATTGCAATACCATATATGTACACGCTCTTATGGGATACCACACACTAATGAAATTCAAACAAACTTATAAAGTGCCACGTGCATTAAAAATTTAGAACATGTCCAATGACCATCTCATACAAACATTACCCGGCCAACAAACCTAGTTGAAAGCTAGTTTATTAGCCAAACCTATTGAATTAGTAATAATTAGCCAAATGTTAACTTCGAGTAGCAATTTTGTTAGTAATATTGACTTGATAACATGATACTGAGTTGGAAGAGATACATAGAGGTTAACATTCCAAAATCTTAGTATTTTAACTAAGAAAAGAGTAACAAAATTATTAACGATAACGTAAATATGACTAATATTTTGATGCATTACAAAATGTTTGTGATTCGGGCTCATTTACACACCATTTTACTCCATCTTCCTTAGTCGTTTGAGCCATTTGTACCCCGGGAGGTTTGTTTTTATGCTAGGTTTTGCCTCGTTTTGGTGTGTTTCAGACTATGGCAAGTGGAGCCAACCCCACAGTCGAAAGTTGGACGAAAAGGAAAAAAATATGGTCAAAGGATGGAGGAAGCAACAGATCATGAAGAAGTAGTGAGTTCACGGTCACTAAGACCGTGAACTGGAGCCTCTAGCCGTGAACCACCAAGCGTCTAGAGCATATTTCAATCTCACTGGACTCAAGTACGACCGTGAACTCATGCCATTGACCGTGAACTCGACTAAGTGATGCAGCTCGTTTTGAATTGAGATCACGATCCCTGCTTTCCGTTCACGTGCGTGAATTGGGACCGTAATTTGAGCCTGACTTGGGTATAAAAGGAGGCTTGAGCTGAAGGAGAAAGAAGAGGAGACCTTGAGTGAGAAAGCTTCTTCTTCAGAATTCTAGAGAAAGTGACGAACAAGAAGAGAGAAGAAGCTAGGGTTTCATTCCAAGGCAAGGATTTGGGAAAATCTTCCCCAAGGGAAGATCTCTTATACATAAGAAAGGATTCAAGCATCTCCATGATGGTTTTTCTTCTTTCTCCTTGTGTTTTCCATCTCCTAGCATGGAGTAGTTCCCCTTTTCACTTGGGTGTTTCTAAACCCTAACTTCTACCATGTGATTGATTGTAGGGAATGATTGTTTATGTGTGGGTGTGTTTTATTACGAATTTGGAAGTATTTTCATGGAAGATTGTGTTGTGTGTTTGCCTATCAATCTATTTGCCCTTCTAATCTAGGTAGAGAGAAAACCCTCTTTGGTAAAAGAGGCTAGTAAAGCTGGTTTTTCTTAAGAATCATGTCTCCTATCTAGGTTAATGTAGGCATCCCTCCTTGTTTGCGTTGGCACCTAGGTCAATTGTGTTTTGGCCATCCGAATTCCGATTTGAGAGTGAAGGTTTAGTAGCCCTTAGTCGAATAGGTCAAGAGAGTTACCCTAGTAGCTTAATCCAATTTCCTTGGCATAGGGAACGAGAGAGTGATGTCTCATCACTTGCTACACTTCGCTTACGGTTCTCAATCACCTCCACCATGCATTTTCAGTCATTCCCGACAAGTCATGGTAGCGAGTTAGGGGGAGCTACACCAGGGTGAATCATTTTCATTTAAGAGTAAAAAACCAATTACTTATGCACCCAATTGAGGTTTATATTTGGGCCTTAATTGTGAGTTTTATTGTGATATTCGGGACGAGTCAAATTTTTAGTATTTCAATAGGTTTGACTAATAAAAAAGAATCCGAAAAAGACATGGTTCTAAATAGCGCGCTTAGGCACTAACCTACTCTCGCCTAGGCACAAGTCAGAAGGAAAATGCCTCATCTTGGTGAAAAGTAGTGGAGAAGGCGTCACGATCACGTTGTGCCTTGGTGGAGCCTAGTCAGAATTGAGTTGTGAATCAAAATCATGTCATGGTGTCTTTTTCTATATTTTGATATGCTACCATTGACGACGGTCTTCATTTCTCTATTATTAGGCTAAGATATAGTTAGAGACGAGTAACTTCTTCTTTCTTTTTTGTGCTTCTTAGCTTTCAATCTGTTTCGTTATTTTCAAGCTTCTTCTTCCTTACTTATTTCTCCACACTATGTTTTATATTGTACCATGTGTTGTTGGTGAGAGTTTAAAAATGAGAGGTAGATGCCATGATATTAATTGATATTAGTTCCAAAACTTGCGATTCTGTGCAAGTGTGAGATATTTTGCCATCTTTACATATAACGCTTAGGCATGCCTATGTGACGATTACTCATGCAAGGCGCAAGGCAGAGTTTCAACGCACGCCTTACGCCTAGCGCTTTCTTGAACATTGAAAAAAGGTTTGGCTAATAAATAATCATTACCCATTCATAAAACCTACAAATTCTTAGCATACACATAATCTTAATACACATAATCGCAATACACATTCTTGTTATACTCCATTTCCAAAAATTTAAGTTTCCAAACGACCCCATATTTTGCTGAATCGCTAAATGTCGCCCTAAGAATTGCTAAACGTCGCCCTAACTTAAATGTAAAATTACTTATATACCCTTAAGCAAAAACTCAAAATTGGCTTAAACTAACAAGCCCTTAGCAATTCAAATTCATTCCCCTCCCCCCTCAACTCGTCTCACCCACGACTCCTCTCACCTGCGAATCACTTCTGCCGACCTATCTCGCCGCCGCTGCCCGCAGCTCACTCGCCAGTCACCGCCCACTCACTCGCCAGTCGCCGCTCACCCGCAGTCGCCGCCACCGCCGCTCACTCGCCAGTCGCCGCAACCGCCAGTCGCCACTCGCGTCGTCACCGCTCGCGTCGTCACCGGAGAAGACCGCCCGTCGCCGATCGCGTCGTCACCGGAGAAGGTACCGAACTGGCCCCCGGTTGGACCGACGGCTGACCGCGGTCAACGCGCGGTTGGACGAACGGCTGACCGCGGTCAAAGCGCTGTTTGACCGCCGGTCCAACCGCGCGTTGACCGTGGTTTGACCATTTTTTTTATATTCTGTTTTTTTTAAATCCGTGTTTTTATTATTCGATAAATGTTAATAATAATAAAAATGATTAAAAAATATACTTAATAAAAAAATTTAAAAACGTATTCGATAAATGTTAATTAATGATAACAAATTTAAAGAACATTATAAAAAAATTTAAAAAGTGTTTTTATCATTTTAATAATCAAAATTTCAAAGTAATTCGTTTATCTACTTAATTATTAATAATTTTATCTTGACTAATTATTTACTTTTATGTAAATAATTATTACATAGAACGTAACATAAATGTTAAAACTATTAGTTTTTTAATTTTAATTATGAAAATCTTAAATTAATTACTTTATGTACTCCATTATTAATAATTCAAACTGTTTTTTAAGATGTCTGGACATGGAATGGGTAAACCAGATATGATTAACTGTTGCAGGACAATGTAACCGCCTCACTTGATTAATAAAGTTCCCACCGGTTTCAGTAAAAAAAAAGAAGATTAAGGCGAGAAATAAGGAGAGGATGGAAGGTCGTCGGTGTAGACTTACGGCGATTGGTAGGAAGGAAAATGAAGAAAAAAATCCACCTAAGGTTAGAAGGAAGAAGAAGAAGGCGGATGTAATGCGTCCTGACGGCCACCCTACTGTGGGGCAGTTGTCTCTTAGTCAAGGTACTACCAGTACTCCTACACCAGAGAGCGCACCGGTATGGCAGGCTTATTGGATTGATTCCATTGACGAGGATGATGATGATGACAATGATGCTAAGGTTGGGAATGCCCCAGATGCTGGTGATGATGCTGCTGTTGAAGCTGAGGTTGGGGATGCCCCACCTCAAGCTGATTTAGGCGTGGGGAAGACGGCGCGGGTCGGGATATCTTCTACTGCCTCCTCACACTTCCGTGGGCCCGATGGACGCTATGCGTCCAGACCTAGTAGCGAGGAAGGCGGAGATGGAAATAGGAAGAGGAAGACCACGATGAAAGATATGTCGTGGTTTCTTACATCCGAGTCTCCGATGTGTTCAGGTGGACCAGTGATTCCCGATGTGATCCCTAGCTTTGGAGGTCACATTGGCTTTGTACCGTGGACTTCCCCTGAGCAGGACCGTGGAGTGTTGGAAGGCTTCCATAGGCCGACAACTGTAGAGACTTTGAGGCGATATAAGTGGAGTGCAGAGGGTTCCAAGGAGATGGTTGAAGCCACAGGATTGTCTCAATTGACAGGGTGCATGATGCAGCATTTAGACATGGCTCTACTGTCGGAATTTGTGGAGAGGTGGCAGCCGGACACAAACACCTTCCACATGCCGTTTGGAGAGATTTCGATCCTTCTACACGATGTGCATCACATTCTTCGTATTCCGGTTGATGGAGAGCTGATGGGAGATGATGCGTCGCCGGATATTCTTAAGTCAGACATGGGTGGTCTAGTTCAACTTTCGGTGGATGCTCATGTTGGTGGTAAGTGGAAGTCTAAGTGGTACGATACTGGTGCTATGCATGCAGAGGGATTGTTGGTGCGTGGGGGAGAGCTGAAGATTAAGGAGATGGAGGTGCAGTGTTACCTATTTGTGTTACTGGGATCCACGCTTTTTGTGGATAAGAGTTGTGATCGCCTTCGTCCTACGATCAACTTGTTTATGAAGGATCATCGACGATTGACTGATTACGCTTGGGGAGCTGGTGCACTAGCCTATCTCTACAGACAGTTGGGAGTGGCCACACGAGAGGGTAGTAAGGGTCTTTGTGGTTGTTTGACCCTGCTTCAGGCTTGGATATATTAGTACTTTCCTCTATTCCGTCCGAGCCAGCTGTCGCAGTCTCCGGATGCACCTCGTGCTTCCTCGTGGATTTCTCCCCGTTTGCCAGGTGGGGATGATGCTAGACAGAGGTTAGCACATTATCGACAGTTGTTGGATGAGCTTTCAGCTGATGATGTGACCTGGACTCCGTACGGACGAGATGGCCACACAGATATACCTCGCTCCTTGTTTACTGGCCCCATTCGCTTTTCTGACATTGCTGAGGGATAGGATCCTGCACGTTGTCTGCGCCAATTTGGATACCGACCCGTGCTATGATGGTACCACATGACCATTACCGTCCGGCTTCCGGCAGCAGTTACATAGTCTTTTGGGATCCGTGGGTGAATCAGTTGTGGGATAACGTGGCAGCCCATCCTCTAGATTTCAATTTTGCTTCTCGGCCGTGCGAACACCCATTGGAGATCGTGGAGGAGTACGTTGACTGGTTTCTGACTAGATCGCACCCACGGATCACCCACCCCAACTCTGATGGGGTGCCTCAGCCTCGACCACTACTAGTTCATCAGGTTAGTTATGACTTTCTTTTGATTTTCCCAATATAAAGGACATTTGTTATTTATTCTAACATTGTTTTCTATTTACAGTTGAGAGAGCAGATTGTGGATCGTTTAGGTCCCGTGTTGCTGACGAGGTACCGGAGTAAGTGGGAGGAGGACGGTGGTAAGTTCTATGATATGGTAGCTGGGGTTCACGAGTTGTACAACCAGTTGGTAGGGCAGCCGCCTCAGTAGACGATTGTGTTTTTTATTTTTCATCGTTTGTAGTTGAACTGAGACTATTGTGATTTTTATTTGTCATCGTTTGTAGTTGAACTGAGACTATTGTGTTTTTTATTTGTCATCGTTTGTAGTTGAACTGAGACGATTGTGTTTTTTTACTTTAGTTACATTCAATGCATTGCTAAAATAGTTTATCAACATGGTAGATTACTAAATGTTTCAATAATAGAGAGTTATACAATTCGTAAATATACTTCCAATCGTCATCCCCGTGGGTTCAAACTATCATAAAGCGCACGCTCATGTAAGAAGAATTGATCCCACCCATTGACACTAGGGTCATGAAAAATATGCCAAAGGCCATTAATTGGAGGCATGGGCACTTGACCATGTCGAAAGTCAAGTCGCACCCAATGATCCACCGTAAAATGTAGTGATAAGATCCCATGTGGTCTTGTTACTCCTGGTGGGGCCGTCAGAGGTAGCACGGTATAACGACCGCCTTGACTGTATACAACAATAGCCCATGAATGCAAGGTGGCGAAGACGAAGAGTTCCACATTATCCATCCAGTTGGGAGGTCCACAGCCACTTGTTGATGCCCACCTGCAACGTCGAATGCCATTTTCTATTCCATTTGCTATTCCATCATAGTACTCTCTATAAAGCTCAGGACGGGATTCAAGCTCCTCTACAACAACGCGTCTCATTTGTGGCCAATTCCTTTGGTCCCCAGTAACTGCTTGTGATATAGCTCGAAATCCACAGTGTCCATCTGGAATAGGGTTGAACCAACCACGAACTAGTCGTTGCACGTAGGATTCCAAACAATGTAGCCATGGGTAATTCTTCCAACTAGTATTGGGAATCCGAGCAACCCTCCACGGGGCACCATCTAGCCAAAGAGCATAACACAATAAATTAATACAAAGAGTTATACAATATGTTTACCCGAAATTAGGAATATAATTTCTAACTTGTATCATTATGGATCGGCTCCGTCCCATTCTCGAAGTTGGTTTGTGCATTCACATTCGGGGCACCACCTATCTCATTTAAAAAAATAGATTAGTTGTACACCATATTGAGGACAATTGAACACAACTAATAGAAAAAGTTAATCTACCTGTATTTCCATCATTGTTCGGAGTTGCAGTCGGAAGTCTTGAACTTCTCCTCCCTCGTCTCCTCTCCACATGCTCGAAGTGAGATAGGTTTCGAGTGGTGGACGTCCTTGGGCGACTGGGGCGGGGCTGTCCCCCATGCGGTTCATCAATGCCATCGTTTTCAGGATGAAGATGGCTCCGGAGTAGACCGATTGCACCTCGAATGGTCTCGTCACCACTATCAAGAACCTCCTGTACTGGACCTTGGAACACACCACGGTGGTAATCAATATGGTCATCCCACTCCGGCCGAGTAGGAGGTTCACGATAGTCGATAACGGTCCAGAATGGCAACACCTCATACAAGGCGAAATCCCGATTTTCACGTCGTGCTAATTGAATGGAACATCTACATGGGAGACCATAGGTAAGAGGAAACGTACATGCACAAGGTTCCCCTTCCACTGCTACCTCGAACAACATCAACCTCAGGCTTCTAGAGTGACTTTCATATTCAACTCTCGAAATGGTTTTCCATCCGCTCGGAGCAGCTTCTTTTGTCGGGAATCCTCTAGAAGCTTCCTGATTTGAAGGTGTTGAGCCTCAATGTAATCATCGTTCTTCTTGAATACCTACAGACAATGAAGAACAATTAGGAGACTACTAAAACTTATGTGTGTATCAATGAAGATTTATTAGGAGACTAACCGTGTCGACTGCGCCAGTAGATGATTGAAGCCACTTCTTGAAGGAGGAATGGGCAGCTTCAACCCTATTAGAGCTTGTGTTACCCAAATGCCGCACTTGATTGGTATAACATTTAGCCCACATGTGTCTAACTGGTAACCACTCAGCTGTCATATACGCCCAAAGACGTCGGTACTGTACTCCCCAACTACGTCTGAAATTGTCTAAGGCAGTATCCATGTCTTCCACTGTCAATGATATGATCCTCTGCTAGACACTTTGCTCTCACATTCCTATCTATATGCCAAAGACATAATATATGAGTCGATGATGGAAACATTACCCCCACGGTCTCAACCAATCCTCCTGCCTTGTCACTGACAAACACATCTGGAACAATGGGGCCAAGAAGATGTTGCAAATGCGTCAGAAGCCACTGGCACGACTCCTTCGTCTCGTCGTACACCATTGCAGATGCAATGATAAAGTTCAATCCCACTGGTGTCATGCCGACAATCTCAACCCAAGGCATATCATACTTATTGGTCTTGTATGTTGCATCTATCATGATCACAGGGTGCCAAGCTCGCAACATCACTATTGACTCGGGGTGGGCTAGGAACAAGTGTGTAAGCACGTTACGATCGTCCATATACTGCACATAGTAACCCTTCTCCTGCGCTACGCGGAAAGTATACTGTAAGGTTGTCATCTGACCAAGCTCTTCTTTCCTTATCTTATGACACTCGTTATAAATCTGCTTTCTATTGTGTGTTCCATTTGCACCTTTTCTGTCATTCACTGCCTTGTGGATATTCCTTGGTGGGACACCGGCTGATCTCAGCTCTCTGATGTATTGCTTATCCTCTGTAGTCAAAACATTCCTTCCCTTTGATCCCTCCGGAAATAGCTCCAACTGATGATTGTGGAAACCCAAATTAGCACCAGGATTCTTTGTATTTGCCACCCCTAGGATCAACCAATATCCATCACCAGACCGCTCAAGCTTGATCTGAAACTCGCACCCCAACTTTTCAGTAGATGTAAGAGGCCTCCTTTCCTTACTCGGATCAGGTTCCTTCGACTTCTTCTTCCTACCATGAGTGCAATGTAAGTAATGTCGCCAAGTACCTTCATTCTTATTTTTTTTTTGTTCGATGCCCTCACCAAATAAAACCCAAAACCCTTGGCAATCTCAGTAGCTGCTTCATATGCTTGCAACTCCGTAGTGTATTTCACGCCATCAATGAAATCCGAGGTGTAATCATGGCCATCCGGATTGTAATTTCCAATATCCTGCAATGTTATCAGAATTTATAAGTGACACCCCACAAATTTTAAAAAAACTTAACATTCTATATCGTCAATTTAACGAGTACCATATGATAAATTTAAAATTTCATAACTATATTAAATTTAATAATCATCATAACTTTGCGAATCTATTATTTATGCAATAAATTTAATCTTAATTTGTAATGCAAAATCTAATCTTAATTTTCTAGATTAAGACCAAATTAAATCTAATCTTAATTTAAGGCCAAATCTAATCTTAATTTCTAATGCTAAATCCTTCAATTCCAAAAATAATTATGCAAATAAATCTAAAAAATTATATAAATCAAAACCCAACAAATTATCTCATGGAACAAATCACAAATCATATAAAAATAGAAAATACTTATTTGAAAAAAACCCATAAAATGCTGAACCGCAAGTGACCTGCGGTTGGACCATAGTCGAACCGCAAGTGACCCGCAGTTCCCATTTTCTGTGTTTTTTTATTTTTTCAGTTAATATTTTTACCTCGTCGGAGTCGCTACTCATGATTCAGACGTCCTACCGACGATATCGGCTTCAAAATGACGATGATGGATTTTTCTCTTCTTAGATAGTGGTTTTTTAGTCCAAGTGATGTTTGTTTGAGGAAGGGAAGATAAAGAAGTTGAAAGGGTTAAAAGTGTAACTTTGATATTTTTTAGGGCGATCTTTAGCAATTTTAGGAGCGACCTTTAGCAACTCCCATATTTTGTAGGAAAATTTTGGGTTGCGGCAGATGGCTCACACTCGGAGAGCCATGGCGATGTCTATTCTGTCATTTCCCAAGCGAGTCGGCGGCCTCTACGCTGTCCTTTAATTGTTTCTGCCAACTCTGCAGTCTCCGCCATTATCCCATCCATTCGGCTGGCCGGCAAATCTTCCTTCCACGCCGCTCCTATTTATTTGCATTCACGATCAGCTTTACTGATATACACACACAGTCCACACTTGAAACCGCCGCTTCACATCTCAATTTCTTTATTTCTTCCCGTATTTCCCCATCGGCGGTGTCGCTTACTATATGCCGGGGAATTCAATGCACGCCCTCCGCTACGATCGCTACGGCGGAGGAGTAGCTGGTTTGAAGGTTCCTAATCCTTTCTTTTCGAATTATTACTAGGTCGGAACTGTTTCAGGTTTTAAAGGGTTTTTCATTGTTGATGTTGGGAGGACTGGGTTATGCTGAAACTGAACCGATCGATCTCTTATTTTCGTTAAGGCAAAAGAAAGAGGTATCATTCATTGAAGTGCCTTATATTGATACCTTGTGGCTTGGATGTGTTGGTTCGTTTGTTGTAGCACGTTGAAGTTCCAGTGCCCGTGCCAAAGAAGGGCGAAGTCTTGGTGAAGGTGGAAGCCATAACTCTGAATCCAGTCGACTGGAAAATCCAAAAGGGAATGCTGAGGCCTATCCTCCCTTTTAGATTTCCTCATATACCCGGTAATGCGATTTCTCTTTCTGTAGGAATCCATTCGAGAGACGGTTCCGTCTTTCTGAAACAAATTACTTACCCAGCTTTCAAATGCCTTTTTACGACATTTCAACTGTTTGATTTTATTCTGAGAACTGGTTATAATATGGGTTTGTGGCGAGTAAGATCGCAGCGATAATGTTCTGGACGGCGGATTGATATGTGGCCATATTCTGTATTTGCTTCTGTGGTTGCCAGGTAGTGATATTTCAGGTGAAGTGGTGGAGGTTGGACCAGGAGTCAAAAAAGTCAAGCCTGGGGATAAAGTTGTGGGCATGGTCAATCACTTTGTGAGTTCTCTTGTATTCATTTTCTAATCCTCCCATATACGAGAGAAATTTAATCTTTTATAGGCTACCGAAGCAGCACAAATGTCATGTGAGAACTATCGTGGTAGCCAGTTGCAAAGGAACTGTCCCTCTTGAATCTAGATGCCCTTGCTCGGACTTAATATTACACTCTTAACATAATTCGATGATCTACTGACTGGAAGGCTTCTGTCAAGAAGTTTGAATGGTTATGAATGGTGGCCGTTTGAATGGTTATGAAGTGTGGCTCTTTTTTCTTGTCGATAGTCTGACATTGAGTAGAGATAGCTCATTATGATTCTATAGTGTCTACCTTAAATACGACCCTGTTATGTCTAGTGATTGTAGAGTTGTTCCTCATAGCAAATCTTGTCGATGGAGGGTCATCCTGAGTTTCTACACTTAACTGAGTTTGACATGGACAACTAGTAGACTCCATTGGATCAAGAGTTTCTTAAATAATGATTTGAACATTCCGGTTGTTCATTTTTTTCTATCATACTTACGCTGTTTGCTCCCTTTTCTTTTGTCAATCTCATCATGAATTGTTAATGACAGACTGGAGGAGGACTAGCTGAGTATGCAGTGTTCAAGGAGTTCATAACAGTGAAAAGGCCAGCAGAAATTTCTGCTGCGGAAGCTGCAGGATTGCTCGTTGCAGGTCTGACAGCACACCAGGCTCTCAGTCAAGCTGGGATCAAACTTGATGGAACTGGTGAGAGAAAGAACATTCTGATTACTGCTGGTTCAGGTGGCGTGGGTCATTATGCAGTCCAACTTGCAAAGCTTGCCAATGTGCATGTCACTGCAACTTGTGGTGCCAGGAACATGGAACTCGTCAAGAGTTTGGGAGCAGATGAAGTTATCGACTACAAGAGTCCAGCCGGAGCAGCTCTCGAGAGCCCATCTGGCAGACAGTACGATGCAGTTATCCACTGTGCAACCGGCATTCCCTGGTCTACCTTCGAGCCTAATCTGACACAAAAGGGCAGAGTTATAGATATCACTCCGAGTGCTAGTGCAATGTTCACTTCTGCAATGAAGCAGCTTACCTGCTCAAAGAAGAAGCTGGTGCCTCTGCTCCTGATCCCGAAGGCTCGAAACCTGGAGTATCTCCTTAATCTGGTGAAGGAAGGGAAATTAAAGACCTTGATCGATTCAAGGCATCCACTGAGCAGGGCTGAAGATGCTTGGGCAGAGATTATGGATGGCCATGCTACAGGGAAGATCATAGTTGAACCTTAAAACGATTTCTGTACCAAAAGTCTACTAGATGTGATAACAGTGTTTTGAAGTTGGGTGTTCTGAGGGTTGATTGTGTAAAATGTTTGAGGTTGTTTCTGGGTGCTAGTCGTAAAGACAAACGGACAATAAGAATATGTTCATACTCTTGATACTTAGTATAATCACAAGATGAGTTCCGACTTCCGACCCTTCTTGCTTCATCCTCCAGCAGTCAAGTATTACTACCTAAAAATCTGTACCACTATATGGAAGTTAGTACCAAAACACGAAAGACCAGTGCCACTATGTGAAAACAAAACAAAAACAGGACTAGTATGAATTAAAAAAAAATGAAAAACAATACCATTATGAAAAACCAGTACCATTACGAAATCAAAACCAAAACTAGTACTACTACGAAATAAAAACAAATAACACTAGTAATACAACGAGTAAAACGAATCCAAGAGGTCTGTTGTGGCCTGATATTGTAACACCGTACCCTATACGTATTACCTAATCATATTGTTCATACAATTGCAGCGGAATTAATCTTGGGTGTTACATTAATTATCAAAATTTACCCAAATAAAATTTCGACATGAATTACTCGCGTAATGGGCTAACAGTTCTTCCATCTAATCCTGCAAAATAATTCATCTAAATCCATGCATTCATAGACAAACATATACACTCACTGCCATATGCATTGGCTTTTCATAGCCATAGTCACAGTTTCATGTTACACAACTGCATACTATACTGATACATGCCATAATCGTCACAACTTACATAATTACACAAATATACACATATCATCAACTTTCCACACCTGTGGATATCTCACACTACATCAGAAGCTAGTATGCACATGAAAAACGTTCTCAAAACATTTTACAAAAAGGTGTGGATCACTGGCCAAAATCCCGAGTAGTAGTCCAAGCACAGAATAGTTGAAGACCATACCTCATCTTGCCTTCAACTCTTGCTCAGCTCCCACCTATACACCTATCTACTGCTGATGATGATTTGCTTACACATGGCATAAGCAGAGAAAAGGGGTAAAGAGGGTCAGCTCATAGCTGAGTGAGATAATCATAGCATCGTGAGTTCATAACAGAGCATACCCCTACCATACATCTAGGAAATAAGCCCAAGCACTAGGATCAGACCTCAGCCATTCCGACATCCCAATAGGCAAACGACTCAACCACCTTGACTTATGCATATGCATCTTATCATGTTTTACTTATAGGCGCCTGGATACTCCCATGCTAATAACTCTCCCGGGAAACATACCCCACATCCCGTCGGATGTAGTCATACATACCCAATATCTCGTCGGATGTGGTCATACATACCCCACACCACTATGGGTGTAGTCATACCCCGACACCGCTCTGGGTGTGGTCATATCTCGTAAGAATTCTTCAGTCACCACCACATGAGAGGTGTGACTATCATACATATCATAATAGAGTAATAGCATAGGGAGCCCTAATTACTATGTAGTTGACCGTGAGACCACAACACTCATATTTGGTATCCTTATACATGATTCATATCTCATCTTGCTTAATCATAATTCATTACTTGCACATGTACTTGACCTGGCCACCATTGGCTCAACATAAGTAAATCAGGAGTCGTATAATTGCACTTCCTCGGGATAAATCCTCGTGCAAGTCATCCTCCTTAAACATCATAATATCACCCTGGGAAGTTTATTCCCCCCACTTATGGATTCAAATACAACCATAATATCACATCATGTCAAAACACCTTATCGAACAACCATGAAGTCATATCAACAGTTAACCCACAAATGGCAACATGTACGCAATCATCAACATAAACAAGGTCCATATCGATTATGGCAAGTCAATAATATCATACAGCAGTCCAGGGTTCATCATATAGCACAAAAGTCCATACACCCCTAATCATGCCATTCTAGTTCACCTAGGTCAATTATAAGCATCAATATAATTATCGTGATACGACAAACCCGGTATGCCGTGCTAATCCCTCACCAGTTCTGGTCGTTCAAACACCGATTTAACCTTCCCGTACTAAAACGTCAATTTCAGGAACGAACCCCGAATTAAAATCCGAGACCGTCCTAATATCCCCTGCAGTATCCCCGTCAATATTAGTTCTAGGCCCGGGTCAAATTCTCGATAAAAACACATCAAACCTTGGCCGGAGCTAAATTTAGCGATTTGGACCCCGACCTAAATAATTGCCGAAATTCAGGGATTAGAACTAGAGGATTGATTACCTCGCCGCAGGAAGCTCGTATATGAAATTTGGGCTCAATCCGGCTTCCGGATACTCCGAAATCCTAATTTGGCTTATCGGGAATTCAAGAAATTCCTGAACCAAAAACTCGTTTCAAAGCTCTAAATCGATAAATCACGATGAATGGATGGATTAGGCATAACTTACGGGATTTTTGGATCACTTATGCTCAAGAATTGAGCTCTGAGATTTTACCCTCGCGATGCCCTGTGCGCCTCTGCTCGGTCTGTTTTCTCTCGGTCCGAATAATGGAAGATGATGGTGGAGATAATGGACAGGGGGAATTAATATATATATGCGGCCCGGCCGCTTAATGAAATTATTTATATATATATATATATATATATATATATATAATATATTATATTATATATATAATTAATACGTATACTTATCCGATCGATCGATAATCCGATTTTCGTCGAAATACTGCCAAATTGCTTGATTTCAAAACGTGAAATTTTCTAGCGACAGTAATACGATTTTAGCCGAAATGGGATGTTACAGATATGCAGTGTTGTGGAGAAAGTATAAGAGTAGGAGTCATGTTAGTCATGTTATAGATAGGAAAAGGTAGGGGATTCTATGCCTATAAATATGTACTAGTTCATTCATTTAATGTCATGAGAAGATTGGAACCCAATTGAGTTTCTTGTTTTGTTATTTCTTAGGAGTAGTTGTAAATTAATTTGCGATTGATCTCGCCATCAAGAAGGTCCTCTACTCGAGAGCGTTCGAGAAACGTATCAAAAGGTTCGTGTGCGGGGGTTTTCCGAGAAATCTACATAACAAGTGGTATCAAAGCCCGATTTTAGCGCGACAAGAGTCCAGGAAGATGGCGCCGAAGAAGAGCCCGCAAAGCCAACTCTTCCGATAACATCGCCATCGACGAGGAAACTCTTCAAGGGCTACGCGAGGCTTAACAAGCTATGTAGGAGATAACACAGACGTTGCAAACGATGACAACACGACTCAACAATCAAGCACATCACCAACAGAGAATGGAGGAAAGCATCAACAAAATTGAGGCCATGACGACGCAACTACAAGCCGTGATTTTGGAGTTGACTTGAGGCCTAGCTTCAATGATGGTGATGACGGGTGTTTTGAAAACGGGGATCGACTCGTTGCAAGCCTCGATCTCCTACAAGCCCATCGGAGTGTCTAGTTCCGTTGCGACGAACGGAGGCGGCAAGGAGAAGTAGGCGACTAAACCAACGAGGAACGACGAGGCGACTAGGGTGATTGCAAGCTGAATCTCGGTGAAGCGAACAACGGCCGACGTCTCCACTAGGGAGAAGTTGAAGGCGGTCGTGGAGGAGGAGGTCACCAGCGACAAGCCCATTTCGAAACCTAGCCAACTCAACTAGGCCGGGCACGGGTCGAGTGGCGGCCACCCAGTCGGCGACAGTCACGGAGCGAGGCAAGGCACGGGCGGTGACAATTTGATTGGCGTCTGGGGCTGCGGCGAAGGGTCGATTGCGGCAATCGGACCCGAGTGGGGAGCTTTTGCTCTCAATGCAAATGCGGGACAAGGGCAAGGGTTGACAAATCGACCAGAGCCAAGCACGAATTTTCCACCGGGATTCATCAGGGGCGAAACTAGTACGGTCAGTTTCGAACTAGGCTTGGTCGGTGGAGGAGCGATTGGCGATGGTAGAGCATTGGGCTACGACGGACATGCTATGGGAGCAGGATTCGGGCCAGCAGGGCTTCCACCGCCTTAGGCCGCGATGATGGTCCTGACGTGGACGAGGCCCGGTGTTGGGTCCACCACCAACCCAACGATGGGCCTAGGTGAGGGCGGATCGACGTGGGCTCCGCACATGGGCTTCTTCGATGTAGCTGGAGGACCGAACGGAGGTTAGAGCCTTGAAGGTGGGCCAGGAGGCCTAGGCAGGTCAAGATGGCCAAGCGGTCCGGTAACAGGCCCTAGGCCGAAATGAGGAGGGGCGTGGCCACTGGGCCTAGGAGAAAGGAGGAACGGGCCGCGTGGGTTTGGTTCGGGTCAGACAGATGACCGAATCATGCCATTTTGTCACGAAATTGGCGCAATTGAAATTTCTGAAGTACAATGGAGGTGAGGACTCGTCTGGTTGGTTCGCGCGAGTGGATCAATTTTTCAAATTCCAATAGACGCCAGAAGAGCATAAAATGCTACTCACATCATATCATTTGGAGGGAGACGCCAACCAGTAGTGGCAATGGATGGAGCGCACCTACATTACGACTGGGATGTTGATGACTTGAGCCCCGATTGTGGGAGGAGTTATGGGCTAGATTTGGTCCGACAGAGAGCACCTCGAGTCATGAGGCTCTCGTTAAGATCAAGCAAACGAGATCTTTAAGCGACTATCTCTTAGCTTTCGAGAGATTGGGTAATCAATGCTATGGTTGGACCGAGGAAGCGTTAGTGGGCTCATTCATTGGTGGGCTCAAATCTGAAATCTTCGATGCAATCCACATGTTCAAGCTGGAGATAGTGAGAGACGCGATCCGACTCGCCAAAGGGGCTTCTATGCCCTATAAATATGTACTACTTCATTGAACCCAATCGAGTTTCTTGCTTTGTTATTTCTTAGCAGTAGTTGTAAGATAATTTGGGGTTGATCTCACCATGAAAAAGGTTCTCTACTCGAGAGTGTTCGAGAAACATATCCAAAGGTTTGCGTGCGTGGATTTTTCGAGAAATCTACATAACACTTTCATGTCTAATTATACTTGATAGGATTAACACAAGGGCAGAATTGTTTAATTGGGACAAGTTTGCAATATATTAATGTGCTTTGTGTAGAGAGATGAGAGGGAAACCCACAATTATCTATTCTTTTGTTGTCATGTTTCTTCTGTAGTGGCTACAACTGTATTTGCAGGAGTGGTGAATGTTTGGCCTAATACATGAACA